CATTAAGATTTGTTCTAGGATTTAGATTTCATGTTAAACACTATGACATTATTTCACCATCGGTAAACTCAATCAGAATCCTAACAATTATATGTTGATGAATCACAGCTATTACTATCGTTTGATCTTTTTAAAAACTCAATAAAATTAAAAAAAAAATTCTAAAGGTGATGTACTTGTAGATCGTTGAAGATTTGATGCGAAATAATCGGAACTCTTGACTGTATTTCCTTTTAGTGAAGCAAAACTTAAATAATATTTATCATTTAAGAGAATATATAAACAACAGATATTATTAGTATTGAACTCTTTAAAACTAGTTAAGTAACTTGCTAATTAGAAACCCCAATAATCTTTACAGTAAGAAAATATTTTCATCAGAATAAATATTGTGAGAGTAAGTAGTTTGTGAATACATTACCTTTGGGAGAGAGCTATCGGAATTCTTTGTTCCGTATTTTCATACTTTGGTTATAAGCTATTATTATCTAATTATCATTCTTCATCACAAATTCTTGCTTTACATGTGTAAAATCTTAATGAATTTCCAAACAGAATTTTGACCTCATTCATTCATGAATGATACATATTTTAATTCTTATTGATAATCCTTGTTATGGTTGAACTCCATTGGTCACGGCTTTTCACTAGAACTTCAGAAATTATTTTTAAAGCTAGTCACTGTTGAGTTCATGTACACACAGAAAAATCTCTGTAAGTTTCTCTATATGATGCTTCTCTCCATTTAAATATAGTAGATTAGGCCGGATTTTTTATCCATAGGCATAAGCCCACTCCTCTGATTATCAAATGCAGTTTAATTGTTTATTTAATATTACTCATAACGATCAGATAGCAACAATATTCGAGGTGCTTCATAGAATCTTTATTGCCTGATAAGACTGAAGCAACATTAAGCATTTTGTTCTTCAATTTCATGATTGAAAATTCAGAAGAAAAATTATAATATTTTCTAATTCAGTTACAGTGTAACATAAAGTTACCAGAACTATCATGTAATTTCGAAGTTTATCTTCATACCGTCACTTGATAAATGTGTTTAACTCAACTTTCAGTAGGTCCATAACAAATACATTAGCCCAATAATACTTTGAAAATTAAGCTGTAGTAATATTATTACACCAATACAAACATCAAGACAGTCCTACTGTACTGAGCTGAAAATTACAGAGCTACCACAACAATTATCAAAAATGTACAAATATTTGTAAACAATCGTCCACGCAAAGTACTCAATGTCCGTTGACTGGATGCCATCAGAAACAGCCTATTGTGGAAGAGAATAACTAGCTTCCAGTTGAAGAGGAAATTAGGAAAAGACACTAGAAGTGGATAGGACATAAATTAAGGAAATTATTAAACTGCATTATGAAGCAAGCGCTAACTTGGAATCGTGAAGAGAAATGGAAAAGAGGAAAGCCAAAGAACACACTGCGTCGAGAATTTGGAGCAGACATGAAAAGTATGAACAGCAACTGGTAACAACTGGGAAGGATTTTCCAGGATAGAGTTGGATGTAGAATGTTGGTGAGCGGCCTATGCTCCTCCTTGAGGGGTAACAGGTGCAAGTAAGTAAGTAATATTATTATACAGAAGTATCAATTCAAATATAATTTCTTCAATTTATATCAGTACTATTAATAAAATACTAACAGTTGTTAAGTGAGTGATAAATGGTAAGGAAACGAATGAATAATTACATGTATGGACTTAGTAAAGTGTATTGATATATGTGAGAATATTTATTAATTTGATTGTAAGTGAAGCTCCTTGAACTTACTTTGTGAGTAGATGAGACTATACAACCTTTACTACATAACCTCGAAAATCTCACTTACCCAACTTTTGACTACTACATTTTATTAACAACTTCAAGTTTAAAAATCTTTAACTTCTAAGAGAAAATTATAAACCATTCATTAAATCAAGTTGATAGTGAAGATCATTCCCCGATAATACTGAGAAGTGACATAAAATAAACTTCTTGATTTCATAACCTACTAACTATTTACAAACAATTTTGTGATTATCGGAAGGGTTTTGTGGAGATTTTAGAAATTTCACTGATTGAAATCATGAGTCAATTGAAGCAAGACTACCATGGAAAACCTGGAAGCACAACTCAGTGGATTGGTTCAAGTTAGACATTAACACCGTTGGATGATGGTTCAGTGGTCTAGTTGGTTAAGCGCCTGGCGCGAGACAGATAGGTCCTGGGTTCGGATCTCGCGGGGGCGGTATCGTGGGTGCGCACTGTTGAGGAGTCCCATACTAGGACGAAACGGCCGTCCAGTGCTCCTAGGTTTTCCATGATGGTCCAGCTACAATTGATTCAGGATTTCAACCAGTGAAATTTTGTGATTATAAGCAAAGGTGGATGGTGATTAGCAGTAGAATCCAGGGTGCATGTTCCGTCTTGTCTTGTGATTAGCGTCCATTAAAATATAATGATCAAGTTATTCAGAGATTACTTTGTTATAACAATAGAAGTATGTATATAAAATATGACGGCTTTAATTCAGTTACTTAAATGATAATGGGAAATGGCAATTACTAACTTCATATAGAAATTTATATTAAACATTTACATAAAACTTAAAATTTGTGTTGTACTCTGTACTACTTAATCAATAAAAAAAGTTAGTGAGAAATACTGAATTTCAAAATTTGATAAACCATTTTATTTTTTAAATATTAATTACACTAAAAGTGTGCCCCCAAATGGCCTAGAGTGGGAAGAGTCAGCCCTCCCCCTCAAAATTCTCTCACATGGCCACGTGTATACAACCACTGTCAGGAGAGTCCTACTCACTGCCTTCTCGTGGTGGGGTGTTGTTTACGAAATTGAGAGGATGAAAAGTGGATGTCCGGCGCTCTAACCGGGCCGGTGGACACGGTGAGTTCACCTAGGGGAGTTGGAAAACCCTGATTCTAAACCAATGGTGCACATGGGCTCCAGTAACCTGAAGGAGCAAATGGCGTATAAACCTCTTGTTGGTCACTGGCTACCATGGGATTGCATTTCTTTACGATGCTCCAATGCCTTGTGGATCAGACCTTTAGGTCAAAGGCTTGGGGTGTGGCCCCATAAGAAAACCACCTGCTTCGGTCTGACCACCCGGGCAGTATCCCAGCCTTCACACAAATCGGATGATTTATGTGGCGCATATCTATTTGGTGCCTCCTCGTACCAATGTTTATGAGTTTAAATGAATAAATAAATACACTAAAAGTGTTAGTATAATACAATGAAAAAAATAAATTTCATTTCCATAAATTAAAATTTCTATTTATTGGTTGTTAATGCCACTGTTCATTATTCACTTTAGTTTAAATTTTGTTGCCCTAGTTTCTTCATCTTCAGTTTATTTATTTTTTCACTGGAAATATACCCCCTTGTTTACTGTTGATTTTTATTACTTTGTTCTATTGTGTGTGACAGAAAAAAAGAAAGAAAAGAGATGCACTTCTTTTCTTTTATATGGTAAAATGCCAATTTTCTTCCATATGAAGATTTTCTTGTCAATATTATATGTCAAAATATGTTTTACTTTTTGTATGAAATATAGACATTTTGAACAAGTTAAACAAAGCAATGTCTGATCTACCGGAAATTGACATTATCATTATTAGGAATACAGACATTTTGAGTAGGTCAGTTTTTAATTTAAAAATACATTTCAGTAAATACACACGTAAAATGATGAAAGATAGTATTTGTTAAGAGCTACCATCTACTGAATTATCGAGAATATATCACAATAATAGAGAGCTCGACAACAACTTAATTCTAGTATTAAACCGGAAACTTACCTTCTTTTGAAAAGTTACTAATCATCGAGGTACTGAGCTCAAACATAATAAGCGACATATTTTATATCCATCAACTTTTACGTACCCTCATACTTTGGA